CGCTGCTCGGGGACTGGCTGGGCATCGGTCAGCGGGTGGTGAGCAATTGTATCGTGCATCACTTGCTTTGTATGGTCTATTATTATTATTACTTTATTTCAATTATTAAACTGTTTTTATCTCAACCCACGACTTTTTCTAACTTGTGCTCTTCCAATTCTCTCCCCCATCCCACCGGGGGGGGGGAGGAGTGAGCGAGCGGCTGCGTGGTGCTCAGTTGCCGACTGAGGTTAAACCACGACAGCTACACAGGAAGGGTTATCTCCTCTTGCCTCTCTGTTTTGAGATAGTATAGTAGGCCATAAAAAACTGGAATGACTAAGGAAAAAAGGTTTCATATTTTCTGAATTGCTTTCTTTAATCAAATTACAGAATGTGAAACAGAACGTGTCATATTTCTAATAGAAGACTTTCACTATATAAAAATACAATGGATTCCAAGAAGTTCAACCTCTCCACGCTGACTACACTGAAGGGTGAGAATAAGCTTTTAGCACATGAAGAAGAAAAGTATTGCTTTCTATATGAGTAACACAATGGGGAACAACTACATAACAGACTCCAATTCATTAAAATACTCATTAACTCTTAAGACATCTTGAAATTCCTTAACAAGAAAATGTTCAAGGATTATACAATCCCAGAAGAAAACTCTGGTAACAATATTTTTTTAGGATTTCCCCCCACATGCCTGTACTTTCTTGCACAGAAAACTTTGACATGAGAAAAGATGTGTAATTTTCTGTTTTACTTCATACTAGCTATGGATTTTCAGCAACAATCAAGCATCCCTGACTGTGTGACTGAGTAAATCACTAATTCTGTGTCAGTTGCAGCTTCATAAGCACTCAAAAGAACCTGTGATTTTTGCACATGAATTTCACAACCTCCATCCTGATTTCCTTAAAGCTGAAATACAGAGATTTGAAGTGCCTTGGTTCATGTCAACCTACTAACATAAGGGAAAGGGGAATCAAAACACCTTGAGATCTTTAGCGATCTTTAATTACTTTAGTTGTAGTTATAACAATTTCATATTTTTATAACTAAGATGCTTTCATATTTATTTATCCTGTAGATATATTTACATAAATAAATTTCAAGAAATAATGGTTTTAAAGTATTTGTTCCACAGATAAAAAGACACAATGTTCTAGCAATCCTGCCTCCAGATTTCACTGCTATATGAATAGCAGTAGTTACTAGTTTACTGTACTGAATGCCTTCATCGCCATCAGGCTTCATTTTAAGAAGAGAGCAACATCCTACAAACCATACAGTAAGAAACGTGCATGTTAACATAATGAAAACATGAACATCACCATACCTAAAGAATAAATCTGCATTCACCTATTTGAGCAGATTAAATTATGTCATGGTAGTTGTTCATCAGTGTTGGCCTCCATCAACAGACCATCCTTCTCAAGCTTATACTTGGATTTCATTGAAGTTTCCCAAATTATTGATTAATCCAGTTTTTAGTTGTTTCAGTGAAGTCTCTCTCCTAACCTATTATTTTGAAGTCTGTTTTCAGAAACTCCCCTTTCCACATCTGCTTGACATTTTACCTCTTGAACTGTTATTTCCATTACAGAGTTTCACAAGACACCATCTGCTCTCTACTCCGTCTATCGCTTTGTGTTTTTCCATTTAGCTTCTCCGTGTCACCTCTGTCATGATGTTGGCAGAAGTAACACAGGTTAATACATTTTGGGCATCTTCTAACATCCACTTGTCTAACTTGGCTCTTACATCACAGCAATACATACTAAACTTTTCTCTCATTCTGTGACCCACATCTCTAACTCCAGTCAGATCCCATTAAGACCACACTTAAGCCTGGAGGAGCAGCTATTATTTTTCAGACTGCACCTTATGCATATGACCTTTTTAATCAGTGGGACTCCTCACGGCACATGAGATGATGCAAGAATTCTGCTTTGCTGCAATCGTGTTTAAGGTCTTGCTCTTCTACCTTTGCCTCGTGTATTGCCATCCTATTTCTGAAGACAGGTGCAGATGGCAAAGTCCTGATTTGGCACCATCTTCATAGGGATATTTGCACTAAGAGCTTTA